GACCACAACCCGCTTCTTTTAGCTCGGGATTGGAAGGTTCCGACTCTACCCCATATATGGATCAAGTTTGAAGACATGGATTACCTACCCTGCGGTACGGAAAATCGTAGAGGAGAAATGGTGTGGAGCTGCCATGGGATTAAAGGCCGATGTTTTATCTAAGAAGTGCAAGCAGGCTCTTAAAGCCTTATATTTCTGGAGTTGAGGAACTATAGTAGATAGATTGTTTGAATATTGGGCTTAGTGTAGCCCAGGAAGGTGCCCTTAGGCTCAAAGTCAATGAATTGAACACTACTCTAGCTCGCATTACTAGTTGATGGCACCAAAGAGCTAAGGTGAAATGGCTCAACGAGGGAGATGCTAACTCTCATTTTTTTTGCACTGTGGCAAGCGACAAGAGAAACTCTAACCGTATTCGGGGGCTCAAAGATAATAGTGGTATGTTGGTGGAGGATCAGTATTTTATTGCCAATTCTATCCATCATTATTTTTTGGCCAAATGGGAGGAAAGGGCTATCAATTTTGATAATTGATCAACTCTTACTTGCCCAAACAATATCAGTCGTTCTATGGAGGGCATCCTTGACAGAAGAGTTTCCAATGAGGAGATATGGAATGCGGTCAAATCTATTGGCCTTAACATATCTCTAGGGTTGCACGGGATAACTGTCTTCAAGCATTTATGGATTGTCGTCGGAAATGATGCATGCAACGCAATCCATGAATTTTTAGAGGGTAGAGCTATGCCCTCAAAATAGAAGGATGCTTTTGTGGTCCTTATCCCTAAAGTTGAGAATGTTGATTCCCATACCAAATTTTGACCGATCAGCCTATGCCAATCCTCTTATAAAATTGTTGCGAAGATCTTGGTCAACCGGCTGAAGGGTCCTCCTCCCAATGCTTATTTCGGTCGAACAAGGTGTGTTTGTTCCAAATCGGTCTATCTCTAACCATAGTTTATTGGCACAAGACATGATGAGTTGCTTCCAACATTGTACTTCGACTACGGGCTTTATGGCAGTTAAGCTCAACATGGAACAAGCATATGACAAGATGAGCTGGAAAATGCTTGAAGTTGTCATGAAGAAGCTCCAATTCCCGAGAACATTTCAAAGATGGATACTTCAATGTATTATAACCCCCCGATTTTGTTGTCATGGTTAACGGGAAGCAAACAGCTTGGATCGAGGCGAAGTGTGGATTCCGTCAAGGTTGTCTGTTATCTTCATATTTGTTTATCCTCTGCTCCGAACTTCTTTTGCAGTCTTTGAAGCAGGCTCTCTTTCAGTTGGGAGTGGCCGATACTCCTAGAGGGACGAAAGTATCACATCTCTTACATGTTGATGATATACTCCTATTCACGGAAGCGTCCATGGAGGCTGCTAAAAACCTCCGGAAAATTATTAAGGATTACTATGGATGAACTGGGCAGAAAGCTAATAAACTGAAATCCTCCATTCTATTTAGTAAAAAAAGCTTTAAACTGGCGCAAAAATTGTATCTCCTGCTTCCTAAATTTCAAAAAAGTGGAGGAGCTTGAGTATTTGGGCATAAAATTGACGCTACGAAAACTAATTGCTGCAGATTTTTCTGCTCTCACGCACAAGGTGGATGGGAAGCTATTGGCATGGGAAAACCAACACCTTTCTTTGGCTGGCAGGATTACATTGATCAATTGTTCGTTAATTCTGGTCACTTCCTTCTTACTCACTCGCTCAATCGAACCTATTATTGCTAGGATTGAGAAAGCTTGCAGGTCTTTCCCCTGGGACAAGGACCCAAATCAGCGGGGTCTTCGTTCTATTGCCTAGAAGAAGCTCGGCTTGCTTGGGGGTTGATACAACAGCCCAATGTCTTTCCTTATAATTTCTTGATTGAAAAATATGGCTCCAACCCGTGGCGGCGAAGTAGCAAAAGAACGGATTCCCTAGTCTGGAAAATCATCTCCAACAGGGCTGAGGCCTTGTTTCCTGTTATCTGGTGGAAGGTTGGGGATGGACGAAATATTAATATCCTTAAAGATAAATAGATTTTTGAGCAGCCCATTGTAAAGTGACCCACTTTTATCAATGTCAAAATGCCTGAGGAGTTTCAGGTTTGTGACCCATTTCTTGAAAGCGGTTGGAATACACAGCTTTGCACAACAGATTTGGGGTGGAACTTGCGGCTATCATACGAAAACTGCAGCAGTTGGAAGGGCTACCTTTTGATCGAGCTGAAATGTTTCCCTCCTACTCGGGCCATTCAATTACTTCTTTAAGCTTCAATAAACTGTTTGATCATGTGAATAAGTGCAGCAACTGGATTGATAAACTAAATTTACACCCTAGGGAATCCTAGTTTTGGTGGTGCCTTCTTCGAAATGCAGTTTCTATTAATCTTTGGTTGTTTCAAAGAAATATTTGCGAGGAAGTTCTTCGTCCGTGGGGTTGCCAGGATATGGAGGACTACACACATATCACTTCCCTATGCAAAGTTTTAAAGGCTATTTTCCAATGATTGCTAAAATGGGGGATCGTGATTGCCACCTGCACCTGTTTCGAAGATGTTTGCAAAAGGTTGATGGACATGCCAACTCGCATGATCTCCATTGGAAAAAATTATTGTAGTGTTGTTTATCAATGCTGGAAAGTTAGGAATGAGAAAAAACATGGGCGGTCTCATGGGACACAGACAATGTTGGCTTCTATTGTTCTTTCCTCCCTCACTTGCATTTATGCCTTCCCCATTCGGGAGCAATGGGACACTAATCGGCCTCATAGGTTGTCTTTCTCTCCTCAATGGTGTCCTCTCCCTCCCAGCTGAATCAAGGCAAATGTCGATGGGGCCCTTCTTCCCTCTGGGCTTCCTAGCTTGGGAGTGATCATTCGGGATAAGCAGAGCCGGCTTATCTTAACGGTCGATGACAGATTGTTGCCTGCGATAGCTCTCGAGTTGAGATGGAAGTTGTACTTTTTATTCGCACATTGGTAGAACATTGGATGAAGGAAAACCGTGGACTGGTGGTGGAAGGGGACTACAACAATGTTTTGGATACTCTGAGGCATTCGGTGGAGAGAACTTTTTGGGGGCAGCTTGGGGACCATAGCCCCGACATTGCCTTTCATACTAGCTTACGTCAAGTGGCAACTCATTTTTGTGCTCAACTTGCCTTACAGAATTTTTTTTTTTTGTTACAGAATTACATGATAGTCAACCCTTGCTTTTTTTTGTTACGAGGGATAGGAATTTTGGTACTACTTAATAGCCTCTTTCTTTTCGCTTTTTGGTGGCTCTTATGGCCTCCTTTTGCAATTTAAGTTAATGCAACATTCACACTCTTCACGGGTGACCAAAAAATAAATAATAATGATAACAAAATAATAATAAAATAATTATTATTAAATGATACATTTAGGGTCAAATAAAGACACATTATCGTCTAATAATAAAATTAACATATAATAAATTAATAATAATTATTTATGAGCTTGACTATAGGTTTTCATTAGAGATAAGTGAAGAGAATAATTGGGAAGAGATCATCAGAATTGAAGTGACTACTCTTACTTTTGATCTGTGATAACCTTTTTCTTTTTTCTTAATCAGTTGCATTCATAGTTACTGTCACTTATAAATTCAATTGCCAAGTTTTATTCTGATTTAAATGCTTTTATTTTTGTTGGTCATATTATTGTGATAATTTTACATTTTAGCGATAATAACAATTATGCATTATGTATACATAATATATTCAATTGAATAAAATTCATAAATGAATGATATGAACTACATAGACTTATTATACGTGCATGTTTGACCATGATGGAGTTCACTTTTTTATGATAACAACGAGGGCAGGCTAAGGTATCTGTGCATATATATGAAAAATAATATTGATATCAATTTTAGACAGCGCTTTTGTGACTGTTATATATAGATTAAAAAGATATTGATCTGTAAACGATACAGTAAGGCAGTGAATCTTTAGAACTATCTTGAATAATTATATTATATAGTGCAAACCTTCAAATGTTTTTATATTGATTTACATAAAGTTTAACTTACATTGATATTATTTTATTTTTATTGTGTTATAATACTTTGGACGCAATGGAGAAAAAGGATTCAGGGAGCCGGCCCCATGTAGTGGGAATAAAGCTTTGTTGTTGTTGTTGTTGTTGTTGTTGTGTTACAATACTTTACGAGTATGAATATTCATTGGCTATGGTTAACTCGATGTCTTAAATTAACATTTCAGGTTTAACTATTTGATTAAAAGATGAACAATAAAGAAGAAAATGTTTATAACAGACGCAGAGAACCAAAAATGAGGTAAGCTTAAGTATATTACTTTAATTTATTTTCTTTAATGACTCTTTCATTTGTTAAATGCTATTTATAGAAAAATTTAACTTTCATCATATGACCATTTGTACCCAATTTGGTCAACTCCAAGCCTTGAACTAGGTCATAACAGACAAGTCCCTGCACCATCAAACATGCTAATTGGTAATGTAGACAAATTACAAAATGCATACTTGTGAGCGTTTATCCTAAAATAAGTGGTTTGAGGTGAGATTATTCCTATTGTGTGATGGTTTTCTTCATTTATGGCTATTTATTATTAGTTATTTATCATAGTTTATTTATGCTCTAATAGAGTGTCATTAGCCGATATTGGTGAGTGAGTTGAAACAATACTCCAAAGTCCAAAGACGGGTCACGGGGAGAATAGAAAGAATTCCTTCAGAGACAACCCTAATAGAAAGAAAAAAATAACTTGATCATACTCACATCGTGGACAAATCTAACATGCAATTTCTCACAACAGTTCAGTAAAGATACATCCAAAATGACTATCTACAAAAACGCTAAAAATAACAGCATATTTGATGCATATTCCACATCTAATGGTATGGTTTTGATTGGAAAAGTCTATGCCTTAGAAGTTGCCTGAAGGAAATAAGATCTAAATTTAAAAGAAGATTGCAATCAAAAAGCGCATAACAAATGCTTACAGTGATTAAAGCAAGAGGAGATGCTACAATGATGTCTGAAGAATAAAAATTACTGTATAATTTTATGCTTCTCCTGCATGAACAAAAATATGAAACCTCCAAACTCAAATTAATTTAGCAATAAAATTATATAAAAGGACCAGCAAAATCATGTATTTACTTCGTAAACTTTATGCCCATCATAAAATGATCATTGTTGTTTCCACCGAACAAAGCCTGAAAGTCAACAGGTTTTGCACGCTTTTGAGATTCTAAACTTCCATCAGAGTTTTCATCATCTCCTTCAGCATCTCCAGTTCCAAATTCTTCAGAAAACCGATCCATGTGTGCCACATTGCCCTGAGGCATGCCATGTAAATTATAATCATAAAAGAAAAAAGGATGATAATTGGAAAGAATGCATGAATATTAAGAAATTCTATGATGATCTCTACTCTATTTCAACGAGTTCAAATTGTGTACTATTAGTTTTAAATATGAACGGCATAATAAAATATTCAAAATAGAGCTAAGAAAAGTATTTTCAGCAATGTTATGCACGATTTTTGTACTGTAAAGATACAACTAAAGCACAAACAAAACCTGTAAATCAAATCATCTTTTTTTCTTTCTTTTTGACGAGTTATTTCCAGTGAAATTTTAGTCATCTGAAGGAAAGGAAAATAAAACCTCTGTTTGACTACACTAACAAGAACTTCAATAACCTGAAAAAGTTGGCAGAAGTAAGAAAATCTATAAGATCATCTTCCTTATCCATTTAATACTAAAAAATTATCAGAGAAAAAAATTAATATTCCAATGTTTCTATAAATATAAATATAAATTGCACCTACAAGGTAAAGATGTGCA